CCACCCCCCCAGCTCTGCACTCCTGGCCAGCTACATGGGGCTGGGCATTTGCCCAGGCTGCTCCTGCCCATCCCACCCGCTCCCCTCTGCCAGGTCCTCCCTCTCCTCTGCAAACCCAGCTCGAAGGTCACTTCCTCAGAGCAGCTTCCCCTGAGTGCCCAGCCTTCCCACCCAGCCCCCGCCCCCCCCACTGAAGCCACGGAGGGAAGGGTGCTGCCTAGGACAGTGGAGATGACTAAGGAGCCCACAGACACCGACATTTGAAGGACAGCAGGAAGGAAGGACACCAGGAAGGTAGAAAAGAAAAGCCAGAAGCTACAGTAGGGCCTGTATAGGGTGGGCAGTAGTTGGAAATATCTCAGATATCTCAGGATTTAATCAAAATTCTAAGACTGAGTTTCCTAACTTATAAAAATTGAATGACAGAAGACAATTAACAAATGATGTTACATGTAAAAAGACGGCAATTAGCCTTGCTTGCAATTAGACGTATTTATAGCTTTCAAGTGACATTGCTCTGTTCTCAATTTTGTAAGCATCTATAGCTTTAGACCTAATAACAAATTTTTAGTAATTATGTGTGTCAAACCACGTATATTATTTTGATGAGCAGGAACACATAAAATATTTATTTTGCAAATTTACATTTCAAGGACTGTGCATTTGAATAGAACTGAAAATTACTTTTGGAAAAGGATCTCAAGCACTCCTTCAGGAAAGGAGAAAAGCGACCAAAACACATCTGATTGCATGATGCCATCTTTGTTTGCTGGCTGGTGCGCACTCTGGGGAAAAAATATGAAGTACCCAATGTCCTTCTTATTAAATAAAAATGACAGCCCACACGGCATTTCTTTGGCTTGATGAAATAAATTTGCCAATGTGTCTGCAAATCATTTTGCTTTATTATGAGGGGAGAAATGATAATTGCTTCAATTATAATTAGGGAGCATTTGAGAACAGAATTCCACCAGGACTCGGGCGATTATACTTCCTAGCACAGCAAACAAGGTTCTGGTACAGATCAAAACTGAGTGAGCAAGCTGGAGTGAAGCAAACTCAGCAAGAAGGTGCCGTGAGCATGTAGAGCACTCTGCTCCCCCGAACATTATCGGGGGCCTGCTCGCGAGTGCTTCTAGCCAAACCAAAGGCGGGGTCCACTCCGGAGCCTGGAAAACACAGCCCTTTCATCCCGCCCCCCAGGCACGTCGCCCCCTCCTCACACGTGTGCACCAGTTACGGCGGGAGGAGGGAGGTGGCGGGCCGGGGCGCAGAGGGGCGCGCACGCACACACGACACTGGCACTACCAGCAGGCCTACGAGGGGTCACAGGGGCCAAAAAGCCGAAATCTTGAACCTAGGACTGTCCATCCCCGTCAAGTCGGAAGCTGCCCCTCGTGGATTCTGTCCACAACTGCAGTGCCGGGAGACCCCAGGCCCGCCAGTCCGGCCCCCTCTGGCCACCCCCAATGTGAACAGAGCATTTACTTACTGCTTTTCTCGACGCCAAACTCTTTTCCACTCAGAATGTGGTGCAGGAGGCTTTTCATGTCGAAAGGGCTGAGGTTCATCAGACTTTCAGAAGCTTCTTCTCCTACAAATACACACCTTTTAAGTGGCTCTGACACAGGGCTGGTGGCACATAGAGTCAGGTGGGCCTCGGGGAGGCGGTGACAAAGGCCATTGTGACAGGTGTCCCTGCTCAGGATGACCTCGCTACTGTTTCAGGGCTGAACTGTGCCGCTCCTCGGTGATTCTAAATGCTGTGGTTTACATACTCGCGCACCTAATTTTTCACACTGTGATGATTCCCAATGTTGGAATGTGTCCCGTCGCTGACTTACATATTTAAATGGGTACGATTGCTCCCAGTGGAGGTGTTGGGAAATGGGGGATGACCTCTCACCGCAAGGAGATACCGTAGGAACTTAGCTATCGGGAGCAGGGCACAAGATCCTCGTGCCTCATTCTCCCTGACGTATGAAATTCAGCATCCGAACAAGAGGACCTGCTCAGAAGCCCTGCTTCCAGAATACTTGGGCAGGCTCCCCACGGGGCAGGGTCAGAGGGGTGGGAACCGCCCCCCGAGAGTCCACCTGCGTGCCTCGTACCTGAGCAGTTCAGGCTCCATGCCAGCTCCGTGGCCATCACCTGAATGATCAGTCCGATGCGGAGTCTGAGCATCTCCACGAAAAGGCTGGGCTGCGCCCTGACGTACATGGCCAGGTAAACCACAATCTCCTGAGGCAGACAGAAGTGGAGATAGCGGTTCAGAGACTGGCTGCGGGTGGCTGCTGGTGGCGGGACCCCTGCCCCTCGCCAGCCCCGACCTGTGTGAGGACTGCGATGCTGATGTCCTGCCCGCTGGCTTCATAGATGAGTTTTGTGAGCTCCTCAGGGGGCAGAGGACTAGGAAGAAACATCAAGACACACACACCATGAAAGTGACCTAGGAGGGGTGCCTCCTCGCCTCTCCAGAAGAGCCTTATTTTCCTGTAGGAAGCTCCCGAGCGACAGTGTTTTTAGAAAGACCCTCCTCCTGGGGCGCCTGGCTGGCTCAGTCGGTTGAGCACCCGACTCTTGATTTCGGCTCAGGTCACGGTCTCAGGATCGTGGGATCGAGCTCTGCATCGGGGTCCCTGCTCGGCGCAGAGTCTGCTTGTCCCTCTCCTTCTGCTCTCCCCACCTCCCCCGGCTCGTGCTCTCTCTTCCCTCAACTAAATAAATCTTAAAAAAACAAAACAAAACGACCCTCTTCGTGAATGGTGGATGGCACAGATGCCCCCCCCAGAGCCCCGCGGTGCCGCATCCAGGTAAGGCCGCCAGGCTGAAGACTTACGCCGAGATGGTCTTCTCCCGGGGTTCCGGCGGCAGGCCCACCGTGAGCTGCTTCTGGTGTGACAGCAGGTCCGTGCAGGCCTACTCACATGGGGAAAAGGGTGAGGGCCACGGTGATAGCCGGGGGCGGGGGGGGGTTTAGCAAAACCAACAGGGAAGTGTCACCACCAATAAGACCATAAATTTACCTTGACAAACTTTATGACCCACGGTGCCATTTTTTTGAAAATTCATACATAGACCCCAGACTGAGCAATGTAGGCAGGGCGGGGGCCCTGTGAGCTCTGTGGCCTGCGCCCGGCTCTGCAGGGCCCACTAGGGTATTTAGTGCCCGCCCAGCATAGCAAACACACTGCACCCCCAGCTATTCCACAAGGGAGACGAGCTGTCATGAGTCCTAAGATGCCAATGTTAAGGGTTAATGACCACATTACAGTCTTAAGTTGCCAGTTTCCCCATTACTCACATCCAACAGACACCATCACCTTTACCATAACACTGAAACCTAATGTCTTAGAAAGCAGTTCTGGATTTTGCAGCACCTTGGGGTTAAAATGTTAATCGTGACTATACTGCAGATGTGCTGAAATAAGAACACCCTGTTTAAGGGTGCCAGGCCACAGAGCATTTTCATTTTATTTCTTGGTAAACCTTTTTCTGCAGCTAAAAAAGAACAAGACTAATCAACTTGAATTTCATTTCCTTTGCTTGCCCTCCAAGAGCAGTGAGAGGTCAGTGAGGAGGGCCTGTTGTATCCGTGTATTCGATAACTGGTTTTCTCTACAAATAGAAGGTGCTTGCCTCTAGCTTTGTAACAGAAAGAGGGCACGGGGCTGGAAAGAACAAACGGAGGGCCCGAGTGCGCTTGCTCTGACCTCTGCCAGGACCTCCACTTTCTTCCTGAGCAGGCCAGAGATGTAGCGGATCAAACCCCACTCCTGGTACAAGCCAGCCTTCCTGTAGAGCTCGCTGAGGAGGTTGTGAACTGTGACCCCATGCTGTCCGGAGAGATTTGTGTCCCAGCTGGGGCCCCTGTCAAGAGATAGAAAACCCCAGAAGTATGGCCTGGAATGCTTACAGGCCGGATTGTCTTGTAGCAGAGCTCACTTGGCAGGGAGGAAAATGAATCACTGCACATTCTGCCAAGTTCTGGGGGCCCTCCCGGTGCCTCCGAGTCTAACCAAGAGGGTTCCATCTTACCAAAGCATCCCTTCTATTTGAAACAGAAGCCTAACATCAGGAAGCAGTGAGATCCTGGCCTCACTCAGCCTTCTCATCCCAGGAGGCCAGCACTAGTAGGCAGAGAAGGGGACAGAAGTCTGTTCGTGGTGATCCTGGATACTTCGGGTGAATCATGGCCTGGTTTGCTGGAAGGCCAAGAAAACTAGAACAAAGAGTCAAGGAGAACAGAGCAAGCTCGAGCTAGCGAAGACCATACACTTACTTTATTACATACAGAATGTACAGAATGTCCGCTTGGTCCTGTAGGTTCGCACAGTCTTTCAGCTGCTCCACCAGCTTCTCACAGTCCACATCACCCTGGTCATCTCTGGGCCGCTGGGAGTCCTCTTCGGGGGCCTGGCCACATGAAAGCCAAAAAGCAGGGGAGAGGGGCTGAGCGTGTGAACTCCTAGAAGACCAGGAAGTAACACGGGGTCTTGGAACTCTGTCACTGCTGGGTTCCAGGCTTTCAGGGACTCTCCTGTAGCTTTTTATTTATAGGTTTTACTCTTCCTGATCAGTGAATCATTGTGTTACTCGATGTTTGCAAGAGATCAGGCTGAACAGGTTAAAATATGTGTAAGTGTTATTTATGCAAAGTTGAAAAACAGGTGAAAACGAACCCCTGGTATTAGAATTCAGGGCTAGTGGTTCCCACCAGAGTGGACGGGAAGGGAGGAGGCCACTGGGAGAGCACAAAGGGTGGTCCCCAACACCAGGCAGTCCCCAACACCGGTCTTCTGCTTCTACCCGGTCTGCCTTTCTCTAGCTTGTATTGCAATAAAATATCTTTTTGAAAGCAAAACAAACACAAAAAGCATGTAAGTTTTAAATGACCTAAAATTGAGGTTAGGTTAAAAGATTCTCCAGTAGACACTGAATCTTTCTATTCATGTGCGATAAAATCAAGGGAGACTTCTAGAGAAAACAAATTATGGGAACCGGTGGAGAACACCCTGAGATTTTATTCTCCTTAGGGATTTTTTCTCATTTTGTACCCTGCTCTGCAAATGGTCCAGCCTTGGCTGGCTGGCAATCTACCCAGCCTGGTAGTGAGCTAGCTTATTTCCTCTAGTGTGACAGATTCTGATGCATTGTGGATATGGACACAAGGCAGACTGCAGACAACTAAGTGTGTGGGTTCCCAATGAAACCCAGAACTTCCAGGGCGCCTGGGTGGCTCAGTCGTTAAGCGTCTGCCTTCGGCTCAGGTCATGATCCCAGGGTCCTGGGATCGAGCCCCGCATCGGG